CTCTCTTCTCTGTTCCTTCTCAATCTCTTATGCACTTCCTTTTCTGGTCTCGATTCTTCTTGCCAAGAGACTCCTTCTTCTCCAGGGCGTGACAAGGTGGTATCAGAGCCTTCTCTTGGCCTAATTCATGACGAACACCAGAGGATCCATTGATGAGCGCCTCACCAGTCTCATGGCGTCCACGACGGAGGCTCAAGGTGATCTGGACGATAAAATCGCCAATGTTCGCAGCTTGGTCACGTCGCAAGCTACTCAGATTCACGAAATCGTCACCCGTTCCGAAGGTCACTCCCAGCAGTTCATCAATCTCACAGCTCGATTGGATTCTATGGAGGCGGGGTCAGCGACGCGCTTAGCTGAATTGGAAGATCGTCTCAACGCTCGATTTGGAAACTTCACCACTGAGATCCGCGAAATGCTTCAATTGATGGTTCCACAACGACCTCCGGTTCCTTTTGATGGCGCGCCGATACCGTTGGGTGATCGTAATAGCGGTCGAGGCATTCTTCCTCTGCCGAATCTCGGTCTTTGGGGAGCTGATCCGGCCATGGCGCCGGCACCTCGAGCTCCTGTTCCGAATCCTGTTGTTGTGGAGCGGGAGCGCTTTCAAGCTCCAGTTCCAGGTAACAATCCTCCGCTTCCCCGACTTGACTTTCCAACCTTTAATGGTGAAGATCCTCATGAATGGACTCGGAAATGTGAGAAGTTATTTGAGATCTATGGAATTCCGAATGATCAGTGGGTGAATTTAGCAGTGATCTATTTTCAGCGCCGAGCAGATTTATGGTTCGAAGGGTGGAAAATTGGTAGGAGGGAGTTGATTTGGGATGAGTTTGTTGCTGCTCTGTGTCAGCGGTTTGGGAATCATTCTTATGGGGGTGTGGTAGCTGAGTTTAACAAACTTCGGCAAACTGGTTCTCTAGCAGATTATCAGGAGAAGTTCGAAAAATTAAGGTCGTTAATGGCGCGTTTCAATCCGGCCTTGGATGAAATCTATTTCATCAGCAGCTTTATTAGTGGTTTGGAGGATGAGCTGCGTCCTGTGATACAAATGTGGAAACCACCAACCTTGGCTGACGCTTTTCAGCTGGCTCAATTGGAGGAGGAGTCGAATGTAGCTCGTCAAAAGAAGTGGCGCGGTGGTCAAGGGGTTTCTAGTCATTCTTGGGCGTCTTCCAGTAGTACTACCTTACCTCAACACCGTCGTTGGGAAGGCACTCCGGCCAGACCATCTGGCCGGGCCAAAGCTCATGTGGTGAATCAGAAAGGAAATGGAGCTAGAGGGGTGTGTTTCAAGTGTGGGGACAGGTATTTCTTCGGTCATGTTTGTGAACCAAAGAAACAGATTAATATGTTGCAAGCTGCTGGTGAGGATGGGACTATAGAGGATTGGACTGGGCCTGAGGAGGAAGAGGTATTGGGGTCCAGCTCTGATTTAGCGCCAGCTGAGTTGGAGGAGGTGTCTATGCAAGCCTTGAATAGTGGGGGATTGACCAATTCACTGGTTGTCCAAGGCAAAGTGAAGCAGGACCAGGTTTTTATATTGGTAGACACTGGTAGCACTCACACCTTCTTGAGTGAGAAGAAAGCCAAGGCTTTACAGTGTACTTTGGTTCGGGCAACCAATCCCTTACGTGTCAAACTGGCTGATGGTATCACTCTCTTGAGCCACTTGGTTTGCAAGGGCTTTAGTTGGGAAATGCAAGGGAAACAGTTCACTTATGACATGAGGATCTTGAGTCTTGGTTCTAATGATGTTGTCTTAGGGTTGGATTGGCTTAAAACCATTAGTCCAGTCACGTTTGATTTTGTAAATCTTCAATTGTTTTTTGCTTGGGAAGGCCAGGATGGTGTTTTGCAAGGGATTCAGGACATGGCTCAGTGTAAGGCCATTTCGGGCAAGCATATTCAGAGGTTAATAAATCAATCAGAGGCAGTTTTTGTGGGTCAGCTGTGGAGTATGAAGGTCGATGAAGGGAAGACTACCAAGGTCAGTTCAGTACCTGACTTCTTAACACCAGTTCTAGATGAGTTCTCTGATGTGTTTGGTAAGCCTATAACCCTTCCTCCTGCTCGTGAATGTGATCATACAAACCCTTTGAAGCCTAACTCCCAGCCTGTGAATTTGAGGCCTTATCGTTACTCGATTCCTCAGAAGAATGAGATGGATAGGTTGGTGAAAGAAATGATGGAATCCCACTATATACAGCCCAGCAGAAGTCCCTATGCTTCACCTGTGTTACTGGTTTTCAAGAAAGATGGATCATGGAGGTTCTGTGTAGACTATCGACAGCTTAATGATCTTACTGTTAAAGACAAGTTTCCCATTCCAGTTATTGATGACTTGCTGGATGAGTTAAGAGGGTCAAAATTCTTTACCAAACTGGATTTATTGTCAGGGTATCACCAGTTCAGGATGCATCCTGAAGATCAACACAAGACTGCCTTTCGTACTCATCAAGGGCACTATGAGTTCACAGTGATGCCATTTGGGCTCACTAATGCTCCAGCAACATTCCAGGCATTGATGAACCAGATTTTTGCACCATACCTCAGGAAGTTTATTCTGGTTTTTTTTTATGACATACTGATCTACAGCAAGGATCAGGAGAGCCATAGAGAACATGTGGCAGCAGCATTGTCAATCCTCAGTAGCAACACACTGTTTGCCAAGCCCTCAAAATGCTCTTTTGGCCAAACTCAGACAGACTATTTGGGGTATATCATCAACCAGGAAGGAGTTACCACTGATCCTTCCAAGATTGAGGCCATGGTTGCTTGGCCTGTACCCAAGAATGTTAAAGAATTAAGGGGATTTCTAGGTCTCACTGGGTATTATAGAAAGTTTGTGCGCAATTATGGAGTTATTGGGAAACCACTGACTGATCTCCTGAAGAAAGACTGCTTCCAATGGTCCAATCAAGCCCAGGTTGCTTTTGAAGACCTCAAGCAGGCTATGGTTCAGGCTCCTGTACTAGCCCTTCCCGATTTTACCAAACCATTTGTTTTAGAGACTGATGCCAGTGATGTGGGAATCGGGGCAGTTTTATCTCAAGAAGGAAAACCTATAGCTTACCATAGTCAGGCCTTGGGACCTATGAAACAAAGATTGTCTACCTATGAGAAGGAGTATTTGGCAGTACTTCTGGCTGTGACTAAGTGGCGCCATTACTTGGAAGGGAGGCAATTCAAAATTGTCATAGACCATGAGAGTCTCAAGCACTTGCTTGGACAGAAGATCCACACACAAATTCAGAAGAAGGGGTTAGTCAAGCTATTGGGATTGGATTTTGAGATCCAATATAGACAAGGCAAGTTCAATCAGGTTGTTGATGCCTTGTCTAGACACCCTCATTTTGGCACAGCTTTGGTTAGTCAGGGTGAGTGTAGTCCCATTACTGCTGTTTTACCTACATGGTTGGCTGAGTTAGAATCTTCTTATGAGGGGGATCAGGAGGCTCAGGACATCTGGGTGGAAGCTGCTATTTCCATTGTTGGCCCCAAGCTGTATTGGATCCACCAAGGCTTGCTCTACCATAAGTCAGCCATCTATGTGGGCTCAAATGGCAACATGAGAGACCAGCTGCTCTAGCTATTTCATGATTCACCAATTGGAGGGCACTCAGGGGTTCAAGCAAGCTACCAAAGACTCAAAAGGTACTTCTGGTGGCCTGGCCTTAAAGCTTCTCTGCAACACTTTATTTTGCACTGTGAGATTTGTCAAAAGTGTAAAACAGAAAATGTGCCATATCCTGGGTTACTACAGCCTTTGCCTATTCCAGACCAGGCCTGGAAGCACATCTCTATGGATTTTATAGAAGGCTTGCCCAGTTCTCATGGAAAGGATGCAGTGTTGGTGGTTGTAGATCGATTTTCCAAGTATGGTCATTTTTTCAGTTTGACTAAGCCTTACACAGCTGCATCTGTGGCTCAAGTGTTTTTTGATGGTGTGTTTAAATTCATGGATTGCCCGAGACCATTGTGTCTGATAGGGATGCAATTTTTACAAGTTCCTTCTGGTCCAAGTTATGGGAGTTACAAGGGGTCTCATTGCACTATTCAACGGCCTACCATCCTCAAACAGATGGCGAAACTGAGAGGTTGAATCGTTGTTTGGAAGAATATTTGAGGGGCATGGTCCATCACTGTCCTCAACGCTGGGCTCTTTGGTTAACTCTGGCAGAGTGGTGGTATAACACTAACTACCACAACAATCTTCAACTTTCACCATTTGAAGCTCTCTATGAGTATTCTCCAGCTCAATTCTCGATTCAGAATCCTCTGTCTACTTCAGTGGCAGCAGTGGCTGATAGACTCCAACAGCAGCACAGGTTGATTAACATCCTCAGGAACAATTTGGCCAAGGCTCAGAATAAGCAAAAGCAAATGGCTGATGCCCATCGAACAGAGAGATCATTTGAGGAGGGTGATTTGGTGTTCCTCAAATTGCGTCCTTACAGGCAGACTTCAGTTGAAAGCAGATCAAACCAGAAGCTGTCTCCCAAGTTCTTTGGTCCCTTTCAGGTGGAAAAGAAGATAGGAGTTGTGGCTTACAGGTTGAAATTGCCTCCAGGTTCGGCTATCCATCCTGTTTTCCATGTTTCACTTCTGAAGAAGGCTCGGGTTGGCAGCAGTGTTCAAGTGCAGCCCAGTTTGCCTGCAATGGATGAACAAGGCGATTTGAAGCTAGAACCAGCTTCGATTTTGGCACGACGAATGGTGGCGCGTGACAACAAGCCTCTGACCCAAGTTTTGGTGCAATGGACTCATCAGCAGGCTGAAGACGCGACCTGGGAATCATGGATCGAATTTCAAGCAAAATTCCCATATTTTCAAGCTTGAGGACAAGCTTTCCCTGAAAGAGTGGGGAGTTGTAACGAATGGACTGTTCTGGACATACATAGAAGTTAGGGATGAGATGGGAAATTGTGTAATGGGGGTTAATTGGTTATTTGCCAATAATGTATAAAACAAACCCGCCAAGACCGTTGTAACCAACTTTACTGATAATACAACTTTACTCTTTCCCTCTCTTCTCTCACTTCTCTGTTCCTTCTCAATCTCTTCTGCACTTCCTTTTCTGGTCTCGATTCTTCTTGCCAAGAGACTCCTTCTTCTCCAGGGCGTGACAGAGAGGCTCTCGGTGACGTAGTTGCCGTAGGAGAAGAGGGTGCCGTAGTCGTGGCTGAAGCAGCACTTTTCGGAGCGGCACTTGGAGAGGTAGACGTCGTCGCACTTGGGGGCGTCGCAGGAGAGCTCGGCGAAGGAGGAAGAAGCCGCTGGGTCGAAGACCGGGACCGACTGGTTGTAGCACTTGATGCACGGGAGACAGTGGAGCCAGCGCCGTGTCCAGGATGAACCAGAAGTCTCTTGGCGGCGTGCCGATGGAGGCCTGAACGTAGTACTCCGCCATGTGGTCTTCCGTGTAGCCGGAGATGACCGGAGCGATTGCGGAAGACTTTGATGGTGATGTCGACAGCGCGGTACCGGTGGACCAGCATGTGGGTTCCGAGTGCGGGAGGAAGCGACCGGCGGAGCGGCGGCGGGGATGAGGTAGCCTCCTGCTGCTGGTCGTTGTCGTCGCCGGGCTTGAAGATGGAGCTGCGGTGGACGAGGGGGAGAGAGATGGGGGAGGACCCACCGCGGCGGCGGAGGATGGAAGCGGAGTCATCGTCGTCGATTTCTTTTTGGGATGTGTGGTTGGCTGAGGAGAGAGAAATTCCAATGGTGATCAAGAGGAGGAAAGCTTCAGGGAAGAGTAGGGTGGTGGTGGTAGCCATTGCTCTTGTAATTTGTGGCGCTAGCTCAAGAGATGAGATGGGTGGGGTGAATACAGATGAAGACGGAGGCATGGCATCGTTTTAAATACAATTAAGGACGGACGGAGGAGGAGTTTCGTTGGTTGGGTTGGCTTGGCTTGGTGCATGCAGTATTAATTATGTCAACGACAAGTGGGACCGATTCACTTATTATAGCTACCTAGTCTTCTCTTTCAGCTGTATTACTGTAGAATTTGATGATGCAGAATCGAAAATAACACGGGACAACGAGTTTTACGTAGTATCCTCGATCGATTGATTGATCGAGACTAATCCACGGTGAGCTCGGAACGAGCTCACGACTGATGTTTTATTATACGACTACATCTTGACGGCTTGCTTACGACATGTTCGTAGCTAAGCTTATATAGAGATAGACGTAGGGTTAAAACCCTAAGGACAACCAAGTTTCCTTCTTTTACTTGAACAAGGAAAACTAGGGACTTGTAGGACAAGGAATTAATTACTTTTTGACTAAGTAATTAATATCCTCAACACTCCCCCTTAAGCGAAGACATGAATGACAAGAATGTCGAGCTTGAAACTGAACAACACTCAAACAACCTCTTGCTGGCAATGACGATCCAACTGGCTGTGACTTTGTTCGCTTGCGGGAGGGGTAGACAAATGATGAAACTACTCCATGCTTGACCCAGTTCCTTTGACAGTGAACTCAGCATGGTGAAACTCCTAGACGTCGTGGATGAGACTGATCCTACTCCATACTTGACCCAGTTCTTTGACAATGAACTCAGCATGGCGGAATTCCTTGACGTCTTGGATGAGATTGAAGACTGCGTTGCTAACTTTGGAGACTTCTACCTGCACTGCTGACTGTGCTTCCCCGAGCAACATGATTGATAGATACACACGGTCGACTTAATTACTGAACTAGTCGACCTACATGTGTTGATTCCCTATTCTCCCCCTCAAACTGGAGCATGAACGTAGTGAATGCCCAGTTTGAAAGTTAGAATGATGAAGACTGAAAATTACCTGATGCTGAACAGCAAGGGGACGATCGTTTCTGCGATCGTGACTTGATATGATCTTGAATTGCTTCCATTCCAAGCTCGATTTGTTTGTTCAAGAAGTTAAGCCAACTCATTTGCACAACCTGAATTTTTGGCTAAGTGTTATGACGAGTTCGGGTAGCCTACTTTGCGAGCTCGAATCTTCCGATTGGGTTGGAATAAATGAGAGTTTAAGGTGTTGGTTTGAATATAAGAACTCCCTCTTTAATATGGCATGGGATTCGGGCTTATACAAATCCATTAAAGCTGTGTTTCAAGGCGTCAAAGTAGCTATCTCAAAACTGGCGAACAGCCAGAATTTGGCTAAGTCTGGAGGCAAGTTCAGGCAGGTCACTTTGGAGCTCTATTCTGAGCAGATGGAGCCGATTCAAGGGAAGTTCATTGCACTACATGAAATTAAGTATTTTTGTCTACAGAGGAAAGGAATTGGATAAGAAGATGGAGGCATGGAGGGATGTGAACGAGGGGCTTAAAGATGCTATGGACCCTGTTTTGGAGGCAGTTTACTTAAGCTAGAAGAAAGAGGATTATAGACGAGTTGGAAGTCCTTTTCAGTTTGGGAATTGTTACCTTAGTTGTAGTGTAGTTTAATTGTCTTTCCTTGTTCGTTTTGTAGTTGATTTAGGTTTAAGTTTGTCTATTTAAAGGCCTAGAACTCCATTGTAATGTGGGGATGTCAATAATCGAGAACTTAGTTCATTGAGTGTTTTGCTCAAAGAAGTCGTCCTTGTTGTGCGGAGTGTTTTCCCACGACGAGCGAGCCTTGTATCGATTGAGTCATCACCTCAATCGTGGTCGGGTTGCCTTTTCAATTGGGACGAGCCTCTTCCCCGAACGTCGGTGTTGAAGTTGCACAACCCAACTCCATCCAGTTCCCTGTTACCTTGTTGCCTTGGTACAAATCTGGCTTTCTCAACAGCAAGCTTGAGAAGTTGAGAGAATTTCGAGCAGCGGTCACCTAGCCTCGTGGTTTGGGGCTTATCAAGTGGTATCAGAGCCTGGTTCAACTCAGTGGCCGTGTGACGATTCTCCCGCAGTGAACGAGACGACGAGTTCATCGACAGAAGGCGGCGCGGGCACGACGAGGTGGACCCGATCAAAGGGCCCTGTAGAGTGCGATCCTGCTGCTGTTTTGGTAGTGGGACAGAGAGTTTCAAAGAAGCAAGCCGCTGTTCTGGGTTTCCCTAACAAAGAACCGTCGCTCGCGGCAGAGTCCGTGTCGGAAAAGGAGACCGGAGCGGGCGACAACTTGGCCATGGCAGAGCAGGCCAATGTCGTGGAATTGCTTCGAACCATGATGGCGCAACAGAATGCCGCCATCCAAGCCCAGTTCGACACTTTGAATCAGCAGCTGGCTGACCTCAGAGTGATGGTGAACGCCCCTGGTCGGCAGCAGAGGGTTGTTGTTGCTGAACAGAATTTTGAGCAAGACCCGCTTCAGGTCAATCACGAACGACAGTTAGTAGCAGAAGCAGAGCACGGAAACAACATTGCCGAGCTGAGAGGTATTAAATTGCAAGTGCCAACGTTCTCAGGAACTAACAATGCCTCTGCATACTTAGATTGGGAAAGAAAGATGCTTCTTTTCTTTCAATGCGGCAACTATAACGAAACACAAAAGTTGCTTCTTGCGACGTATGAGTTCGCAGATTACGCCGCACAATGGTGGGAGCAGACCCAAAGCCGTCGTCGTAGGAACTTGAAACCTGAAATTACGACTTGGACGGAGCTGAGAGGTCTACTACGAGAACGTTTTGTGCCGGGTTACTATCAACGTGATTTGTTTGAATCTTTGCAGCAGCTACGACAGGGTTCGAAATCAATTGACGAGTACTACCGCGAGCTAGAGCTCCTCATGATGCGCGCTGATATCCGAGAAGATAAGGAAGCCACTATTGCTCGGTTTCTTCATGGGATGAATCGTGAAATTAGACTCGAAGTAGAGTTGCGTCCATTCGTTGAACTGGAAGAAGTTGTTCACCTTGCGATTAAGGTGGAACGACAACAACGAGCAAGCGCAGGAAGAAGGCCCTCTAAGTCTGTCCCGGAACATACCCCTGCAATTAATCCTGAACAGACCAGGTTGGAGGGAACCAAATTCGCACCCCGCACTACTACTCCAGTGTCTCACGAGAAGCCGGGAGGATCGACGAGCAACATCCAGTGTTTTAAGTGTTTCGGCAGAGGCCACAAGGCCAACCAGTGTCCAAACAAGAAGGCCTTGGTGCTTCGGGATGGGGAAGTCGTTTCCGAAGATGAAGCAGAGGAGGATAGGGAAGAAAAGAGTGAGTCCGATTCTGAAAGTGACGAGTCAATAGAAGTTGAAACTCCTCCCGCAGGCAAGCTACTTGGGGTAAATCGGCGAGCCCTTACTCTGGAATCTCGCGCTGACGAAGAACAACGAGACAACTTGTTCCACACTCGTTGTACGGTTGAGGGTAGGCTACTGTCCGTCGTGATCGATGGGGGAAGCTGTACTAATGTTGTGAGCTTAGATGCTGTTAAAAGGCTCGGTTTAGGCACGATCAAGCACCCTCAACCTTATAGCCTTTATTGGCTAAATGAATATGGCACCCTCAAAGTGAACAAACAGGCCAAAGTATGTTTCAAAATCGGCCACTATGAGGACGCGCTGTGGTGTGACGTAGCTCCGATGCAAGCTACTCACCTGCTGCTAGGGAGACCATGGCAGTATGACCGGGGAGCAGTCCACGACGGAAAGACCAATTATTACCGATTCAGGCTGGAAAATCGCAAGTTCTTGCTTAAGCCGCTATCGCCGGCTGAAGTCCACGCCGATCAGCAACAAATGAAGGCGAATCGGGGTAAGGAAAGGGGAGATGACGCTGGGTTAATGGCTCGGAGGTTTATGCTCACAGCTTTGAGCAAAAGGGGTCCTCCTCAGCAGGCCGAGCGCTGGCAGCTCTGCTCTCCGACACCAAAACAGAGCAGGAGAGAGAAGCAATGGGGCGGAGTAGCTGGGCGAACGACGCGCAAGCCTAACGCCGTCATCATCTTCCACGAGGACCCAGAATCCTCCTCATAAGGTGGAATCGACCCGAACAATCCCCCGGTGCAAGACCCACTTCGGGTTTATAAGCCTCTGATCGCACTTGCGGCAGGCAGCAAATCGAGTGAATGGGGTGGATCGTCTGGGTACGAATTGAAGCCAAAGGGAATTATGGAATCGTTACTCTCATCTCCGGGATGCTGTGAAGTCGATCAATTGGATCCGAAGGTGGCTAGCATCAAAACACCCAATTCGGAATCAAAAATTCTGGGTTCCTTGTTTTTAAACGCCAGCGTTGGCGGGAAGGAACGTGGAGCTGAGTCGCCGCTCTTGGCGACGCATCGAGGCACGAGAGATGCCCATAAAGTCGATTGGGAGTATGGGAAACCTCTTGGCAGCCACGAATTGGAAAGGGAGTCCCTAGATCAAAAAAACCCAATCTCCTTGTTCAAGAACACTGTTTTCGAATTGCAGAAAATAGAGTTTGGGATGCCATCTTTCGACTCGATTTGGACTCAGTTTTGTGCAGATTTTGAGAAGAAGAAAGAGTCAGCTTTGTGGGCAAAGCTTTTTGAAGAGGGGGAGCCTGATATGAGCTTGAATTGCTTCCATTCCAAGCTCGATTTGTTTGTTCAAGAAGTTAAGCCAACTCATTTGCACAACCTGAATTTTTGGCTAAGTGTTATGACGAGTTCGGGTAGCCTACTTTGCGAGCTCGAATCTTCCGATTGGGTTGGAATAAATGAGAGTTTAAGGTGTTGGTTTGAATATAAGAACTCCCTCTTTAATATGGCATGGGATTCGGGCTTATACAAATCCATTAAAGCTGTGTTTCAAGGCGTCAAAGTAGCTATCTCAAAACTGGCGAACATCCAGAATTTGGCTAAGTCTGGAGGCAAGTTCAGGCAAGTCACTTT